CAGCGGACATTATGCTTAGAAAATAATTATATACTGTCAGTTCAACCGCAGTATTTTTTGCTACAGAGCAAAGATAAAAAGCTCTTGTTTTTGGAAGTTGAACAGAAGTTAAAGTGTACTAAAAAACGACTCTCAATGTTTTGCTGAATACAGGCACTGGAGAGAGTTTGATCAAGTAAATCAACAGTCCCCCTTGCTGTTCGCACGCGGGCAATTGGGAGTGGAAAAAGCTTACTGAATTCAAGGCAGACGTTTTCTTAAGATTATTACTTTATTCCAGAAGTAAGTTAGAAACCAGTAAATAAACATGTGCTTCAAAAGTTCCTGTTAAGCTACAGGAAAGAGTGCGTGTATTTTTTTAGAAAGTAATTTTTGAGCAAAGTACTCAAAATGAACCAAATTAACGTATCTACACTGCCAGAGAGAATGCTATAAAAAATTATGCAGATGACCTCCCAAACTGCATTTGTTTCTATCGTAACTGGAAAACTTTCTGAGACAGATAATATTTTCTTATTTTGCTCTGCTTGAAAAAAAAGGTCAGTAAATGTTTGGTGGAAAATCATTGTTTCGTTCAAAACATGTCCTAATAAATTTAATTTATGTCATGCTTTCTCTACTGAAATTCAGCAAATTAAAAAAAAGCTGGTTACCATCAAATTCGGTATATTTATTTACCAGTATAATCACTATAAGGTATAACTATAAGGTATATAATGATGTTTGGAGGTTTTCACCCGTTGATCTCCTCCATTTACACAGTTTCCTCTCCCGTTTTCAGGTATCTAAAACCTCTTATTTGAAAATGGTTTCGAAGAAGGAACTTTAAATTCATTCAGTCAACATCTGCTGGTAATAAAGTAGTTCTTTCAAGTGAAATTAAGTTTATCTTGTATTTGAAGATAGAATTTGCATACCTTCTCTTGGTCTCGGCTAAATCAGGAAAATTACTTAAATAAAACAACGAATTTTAGTAGAGAGGTAGAGTTGTCTCCTTTCCAATTTATGACTCCTTTCATTAATCCTGGACTTGATTTGGTGGCTATACTTTAGGCAACTAAATTTTCATCTGCATTTATTTGTTCCTAGAATTTTAGTTTTTTTTAACAAGTAAATTTTTCAGGTTTTTCGCTGGATCTTCTCTGCAAGCGTTACATCTCTTCTACATCAGTTTCGCTGAGATCAAACAAACGAAACTTCCTATTAAGTTGTTTCGTCTTAAAATGTGTTCAGCAACTTAACCTTCCAATTTGATTTCAATTTAGATATACCGTACTTAAAAGTTTGTGTTTGCCTACAGCTGTCTGTTTTGAATAAATGCAGACTTGAGCAAAGTGAAGTAAAGGCAACCATTGAAGAAGGAACACTCAGTGGTGATTCGCTATATTGAGAAAAAGCAAAATTAAGGAGAGGCCAATCGTCAAAAAAGATTTTCTTTGTGTAATATCAAAAATAAGCTGTTCTGAGGGATTCAGAGCTTTTGCTGTAGTTCTGCATAAAGGCGACTAGTAGAAATATCAAAAACGATTGTTTGCTTCCTTGCTGAGAAATACGGTAGTGGAGAAGTTGTCATATAGCGCACTTCACAGCTTTGTTCAGTAGCTCAGACCGAAAGACTTCATTGTCTTTTTTAAGTTCATCGGGTGTAATAAAACTAAACGCGGTTTTTATGCCTCTTATTAAATGAACATCTGCAATTTAAAAAAATATGGCGTGTTCACAGTAACAGACAGCAATCGGGATAATGCTTCGACAAAGACTTTATTCTTTAAGAATCCTAGAAAGCTAAGTTCTACGTAACACGCGGCATGCCATCTAATTGATGGTCCAATAAAAGCTCGTTACGCAAGGGCTTCTTGAACGCTGATGTACTCATCACGTCAAAAGTCCACTCCAATTAGCCAAACACCTTGACTTCAAGGCGTCAGGCACATTATGGTCATGGATAGCCGACCTTTGTCTTTAAGTTCTTACGGCTTAATCGCCGTAGTTGCTTATTGAAACAGAAGATCGTTCTGTTATGTTTTAACGTATTTACAAAACACTCTTCTGTTTTATTTTTTTGACTTATGGGAAAAAGAAGTGTTATACCACTAATGAGAATTACAATAAACGCAACTTTTATCCAAACAAGTTCTTTATGAACCCATTATACCTGTGTTAATGGACAAAAAATTTTAGGGAAGGAACATTAGTGGAGAAGAACTGGGACGGACAGAAGGGATGGCAACAAACTGCAAAGCGAAAAAAATAAAAGAGAAAAAGGATTTATACTTCTCCCCATAAGGGAAAGGACGATGTGCAAAAGAAATTACTGACATTATGAAGCAATAATAAAAATGACCAAACGACGTTCCATGGTTCAAACTCAAGTACTGTCTCTTCAGAGGAGTTTTGTTACTACACGGTGCTGATTTTAGTGAGTGAGTAAAACCGACTGACAGGCTCTCCGTCAGCGCTCCTTCAGGCTCTGAGCTGCAGTGAATGCATGCGATCATGCCGTATTGAACTTACGTTACGTGGAAGTCAGGTGTCACGAGAACAGTCATTGGGCGGTATTTAGAAGGAGGGAAAAGGGGGAGCGCGCTCATGCATATTACCGTCGTTCTAAACAACTGATTGGAGCCTGCAGCAAAAAAAGCATTTAATGAAAATCCCGACTTTTGGCTGTTTCCAGTTCTTTCAATCACCTTTCCACCATTGCTCGACTTTCATCGCTCCATCGTTTTCCTGTACGTGATTAACAAGTGGTTTGTTTGAGACGATGCATGATTATACCTCAATACCTGCTCCGAGTGCGTCGACAGTACTTTACATATGACTGTTTGCTTATTTGTTTTGTTGATTCCCGAAAGAATAAACGTTAGCACTTTATTCAGTTACATCCCGGAGCCCATGGCATTGATGAACGAAGCGAGTTATTAGGATTGGAAGAAGAAAACAGCAATGCATTAATCTATTCTTCACTCAAAAAAGCTAACTTCAATGATGTTTGCTCGTAACAAAAAAAATCACCGTCTTATCTCACAATTAAACTTATAAAATTTTTTGCTAACTTAATTTGTTCTTATACTATTGAAACTATAAAGGTAAGCGAGGCTAAAATTGAGATTTTGATGAAAATGGGGCTTTGAGCATAATCAGTTTTGAAAGCTTAAAAAGTTCAGGGTCATCTCATCAAAAATAACTGCTGTGTGGAACTTTACCATCAAATCATCCTTTAACCATAAATTTTATTGCTAGTGACGTTTTAACAAAATATCAACAAGTATTCGTTTTAAACTGAAAAAACTGTTTCAATAAAATGTTTGAAACATAGCCGCATCAATTGTTGGTGATATCTCCTAACGACTAGCTTGAACATATACTCTGATTCGTTTATCTATTTGTTTCAGCCAGTCATCAGTACCTAGGTTTCTCGTGAAGCTAAACTTTCCACAAAAAGAAGCCGATAATGAGAAAGGAACAGCGAATATAAAAATGGTTGAACTTTTTCGTGATTCAAACATAACCGACTCAACAGTTCGCAATTTTCAGAAGAACTGTTTCCGGTAATAAAGCACCTTGCCACTCATTTTACCTTCTCCAGTTTCCTCTCTCTAATTAGCCCAGTTAGTCTTTGAATCCACCCAGGTTCCAAATCTCTGAAAAGTCCGCGCAAAACGGAAAAATATATTCTTACTTAAAAGCACCCTTCAAGTCCCATCCGTTTCTTTTTAAAATATAAAAATAATAAAGAAGTTGATGAGGAAATGAAATGCTTTTCATAGCACAAAATGAAACTTATTTAAGATACTTCCGAAGTAATGAGTAATAAAACTTT